TTATCCAAACAAATTAATGCTCTTCCTTCCCCTAATCCCTCTCAAACTAAATAATTTTTGAGTGAACTGACCCTGTATGATCTAATGGTTTGTCCTCAAATCTTTTTTTTTTTTTTGGTTTCCCGCCCGGTATCCGGGGTTTTGCCCCGACTAATCCGGACTCGACCCGCGTCGCGCACCTGAAAATGGTGGGTGAGTCTCCCAACGGGGGCTGCTGTATTCACAAGGTCTCAAACTCGAGACCTTACTTAAGTTGGAACAAGCCGTTTACCACTTTATTCCAACCCCTCGTTGGTATTTGTCCTCAAATCTTAGTATTTGGATAGCATTGGTAAAAAATTCGAGTCCTACCAACTATTTCATTACCTACACTTGGCCTATGGGCCATTAGTACTTCTTCGGCCCATGGGTAGACTCATTTGCCTTTTCCCCCTATAATTGCCCTTGTTAAAGCAAAAAAATTGAATATTAATAAATTTAACTTGAAGATTCTTTCAACTTACAACTCACTCAAAGCTTTTAATATAATTAGTATTTTTAAAAATTAATTATTGAAATCATTAGATTGAATGGTATATTATTTTAGATTATGTATATTTATTAATCTCAAATCTATAACTATTTATTTTAGGTTATGTTTAAAGATATTACTATAGGTGTATTGGAAATTGTGATTAGGAGTTTTATTTTTTTTATAATCATATAGTATTTTTAAATATATATATGTTGGGTAATTTCTTTTAGATTATTTTTTAAAAAATTGTAAAAAACTACAGTAAATCCACAACAATTTATATATAAAGTCAAAAACTTTATTTTGGAATTTTGTTACTATAACTTTCATAAACAACACCTAATATTTAATATAATTATAAAATTTTTCATTAAAATCCAATCTTGAGTAATTCAATTACACCATAATTTAAAATATTTTAATTAAATATAATATCTATTTTATTTGTAGGTTTTATAAAAATTAAAAACGCATTTCCTTTTTATAAGTTACTACCTCACGAAGTTCGAAAGAACACTCATTATAAGAAATTTAAAAAATTTAAATTATTAAAATGTAGTAAATATTGTATATTTTAATAATTATATATTATACAATATTTTTAAAATTTTAATTAATAATTAATAAAATTTATCATATTTCATCTATAATATTTTTAAAAAATAAATAATTACACATCAAAATAACTTTTAATCATAATTATAATACAACATAACCACAGTTACAATCACATCTACAATAATCTCAAATGCACCCTATATCTTTCAATTTATATTTAACTACATAAAATTTATAATTTAAAATTATATATTAAAAATTACATTTATAATATTTAAAAATTAATAAATATTTACTCACAAATATGTAAGTGATCATAACTCATAGTATTTAATTTTTTTTGGTTACATAAGTGAAAACTAAGAAAATAATAGCAAAGAAAAAACTAGTAACGAAGGAAACTAGCCCTCATAGAATCCCCTATCAAGATATAGTGTAGTCCAGTTGGTGAAGAGTCCATAATGGTGGTGCCTGGTGGAGAGGAGTGTCCCAAAATAGCCAAAAAATCAGCTGCAGAATTACCTTCACATAAGGTGTGCTGTAAAGTGCAAACCTCAAACTCAGCCATCAAGTGTCATATATCTAGTAGCAAATTGGCAGTTAAATTCTCCAGGTTCTGGCCTTCATTGATGAGTCGAACAGTAATCATAGAATCCATTTTAGCTACCACATGGGGAGATCCAAGGCTCTGCAAAGGCGAAGCCCTTCTCTTAATCCCCACAATTTTTCTAGAAGAACTGATGCACTGCCTATATTGAAAATAAAGCCTAAAATCCAATGTCTTGTTGTGTCGCTTATCAGACCACTGGCACTCATAGAAGCCATTTCATGGTTATAAGAACCATCCGTGTTTAACTTAAAGACACCTTCTTTTGGTGGTACCCAACGAACCCAACAAGGAAGTTTAGGATGGGAATGCAGAGGACACATGGCTAGTTGTGTGTACTAAGCATGCTGTACAATAGTAGAACATAGGTCCTAAGGTCGAGACACAAATGATCTGAAGATAAGTGCATTCCTAGCCTTGTAGAGATGCCATATTGTTGAGAGAAACAATGTGTTTCTAGGCAAGGTATCCTGAGCATTAGAGCTTGGAGGCCTAGACATTTTCTTTAGCCCTGTTAAGAAATCCAAAGTAAAAAACTCTGAAGTGGTAAACCCCAATAATTATGGTTATTAAGTTCAAGTTTTGTTGGGAATGGGCCCAACATTCAACATGGACCACGTATAGTAGGCCTAGCTGTTTATTCCTAAGCCCAAAATGAAGATACTTCCATACACCAGTCCAGACATACCCACATGTTGGACCAATTAGATGCTTACATGTATGGCCTTACGTCATCACCCAGGGGTTATAAATACCCCTACTTACCTCCGCTCAAGATAATAACTCCACTACGCTTCTCTCTCTACAATTACTCTTGAGAGTTTCTTTTTCTAGAATATTGAGTATTGCTAACTTGAGTGTTGGAGTGTTTCTCCCGAAAAAACATCCTCGAGTCTTCAGGTGTTGAAGCAGTTGAAGATCTCTACACTATAGGTTCGTGAAGCTGCCCAAACATTTTGGCGCCATTTGTGGGAACTTGAACAGAGAAGCAACGTTACTAGTGTTGAGGCTAAACATGGTGCAAACCTTTACCAGTAACCATCCCCCTACAAGGAACGGGATGGACAATCAGGATGATATTCAGCCTTTGGAGAGTGACTTGAATGACTTTTGGCCAATGCCGAGAAACATTTTTGTAAGAGGAGTAGAGGAAGAATAGTTGAACAACTTGGACAACGAGCTTACACCTACCAAGTATGCAACCCAGCTTGATGAACGATTTCAGATTCCAACAGACACAAGGCGAAGGCATCCCAGACAAAATACTTCACAACGTGAAAGGCCCATGGAATCTACTCCAATGACCGAGCTAGAAGAAAACTAGGGTTCTAGAAATGGCCATGAGAAGGATTCTCTCACGCTTGATTCCTGATGACCCCTTGATTCCTTTGTTGAATAGGGGTGAGCAGCTTGCAGAAGTTGCAGCCCACAATTCCTCAGTTTTGAGCAATATAGTAGTTCCAACCAAGCTGAGGGGGAGTGGGAAGTTAAATCCCGAGCCCAGCTTGTCAAAGCATAGTGAGGAGTTGATGAGGAAAAATGCTGAGCTTGAAAAGAAACTTAAGGATATACAGAAGTCTGTTGACGAGCTGAAGAGTCCGAGGTTGCGTCAACAAGCTTTAGACTTAGATAGTGCTCCCCTTAACCTATCCATTACTTCATAACCATATTGGGAAGCATTCAAGATTCCTCACTTAGAAACGTACGATGGCTTTGGCAACCTAGATGAACACTTTCACACCTACCAAGTCATCATGAAAATCAGAACGCCACTAATATTATGATGTGCAAAGTGTTCCCTGCAACCTTGACGTTGACCACTAGAAGATGGTATCACAAGCTTCCCAAACATTCCATAGCTTCCTACTCCTAGTGCACTACTTTTTTCTCTAACAAATTTGTGAGCTAGTGAGAAATAAAACGAACTGCTACCGAGCTGATGCAAGTTCACCAGAAGGAAGGAGAGTCCTTACGAGACTACATGCAACAATTCAACAAAGCCACATTGGACATTAACAATGTCCTTGACACTATTTACTTATCTGCCTTGTTGCATGGCCTTAGACCTGGTCAATTCCTAGATGACTTGCTAAAAAATCCACTAAAGTTGTGGAATGAGGTGAATGATAGATCGACAAGCTTCGTCTTTTCAGAAGACTTTCAATCATCCAAATGACAAGCTGATGACAAACAGAATAAAGAACAAAAGCAACCAGAAGGAAGGGATGACAAGAAAAAATAGAAAATAACTGACCAAAGAGGAAAACCACCTGGTTTTCCAAAGTATGCGAATTGTACACCCCTTAACTTGTCGAAATCTCAAATCTTGGTGCAGATCCAACACTGGGTCAAGAGACCACCCCCTCTCTTCATGATTCTCCGTGAGTAGATAAAAGTAAATATTGTGATTAGCATTGTGGATATGACCATTATACAGACGATGGCCAAAGCCTGAAGGACGAGTTGGAATTCCTTGCTCGCAATGGAAAACTAAAAGAGCGCATACAGAAATCGACCTAACTGGCAGGGGTACTAGGTCAGAAATAATTAGAACATGTTCTAAGGGAATTTGCCTCCCTTAGAGCTTGACAGGGGCTACAAAGGACGTCAATTTAATAAATGAGGACAGGGGTAAAGGAACGCTACTTAGAACCAAAAGGACAATAGAGGAGTAGGATATACCAAAATACCTACACCTTCAGGCACAATAAACATGATTTCTGGTGGTATCCATTCAGGGGGCTAGAGTGCCCGTGGTCGTAAAGCTTATACTCACCAAGTAATGACGGTGAACAAGAACAAACCCTTGAAACGACCATTGAAAGAGGCTGAGTGGGAGAATGTGCCAATCACATTCAATCCAACAGATTACAAAAAGTCAGAGAGAGAACCTGACATTATCATGCCTCATGCTGATCCATTCATAGCAACTGTCTACATAGGCAACCACAATGTTAACAAAGTCTTCATTGATATGGGTAGCTCTTTAGACATTTTGTATTGGAGTTATTTTTAGAAGATGCAGCTGAATCCAGCTTCTTTAAAGAAATATGAAGAGCCTATATATAGGTTTGACAATCAACCCGTCCCTGTTGAAGAGGTAATCACTTTTCCCATTTATTTGGGCACCAAGCCACAGTTTAGGATGGCATCAGTGAGCTTTTTGGTAGTCAAGATGGAATTGGCTTTCAATGCTATAATTGGAAGAGCCACACTTTGTGAACTAAAAGCTGTCATTTCCTAGTCACATCTTTGCATGAAGTTCCCATACATAATCTTAGAAAATATTACAGCTAGTTCATATTGTTATCTCGAGTATTGGGAAATGTAAAATGTTTATTCAAAATTTAATGAATGCAAAAATTTTAGGAAAATTTCTCAAATTGTATCATCTCTAAGATTTACACATTATGGTACAAGAGACAATTTTAAAACTGTTCAAATGGTTAACAAACCAACACACAAAATACAAAAGAAAAAGATAAACTTAAAGCTAATCATTTGTCAAATCCATCGGGACAGATGCATCAACACGAGCTAGAGTAACAACGAGCTGAGAGTTTGGAGGAGTGTTAGAAGGTTCAGCTTGTAGTTCAAGCACCCCAGCCACCCAAGCGTCAAAACTCGGCAAGCCTTTTAAATCTACCCCGTCTTCAAGAACAGATGGAGGCCATACAAGTGCTCCATCCTCATTTAATTCCCATTTCAACCGCACAATAGTGTCAGTTGATGGGGTGAGGCTCTTGCCTTGTTCGTCAATTTCCTTTCCTTCGAAAAAGGCCAGCTCGTTAATAGGAAAGTCCAGCTCGTTAATAGGAAAGTCGAGTCGGTGCTGTAATACCTTCCCATAGATGTCATCATAAATCTGCGTCGTGGTATTCATAGAAGCAACGACCATGACATCTTGGAACATGTCGGAGCCAACCAGCCACTCCACTCCTTGAGCTCGGGCAATGCTTATAGAGTGCCAATAAGATCTCTTTATCTTGTTCAAGCCTTTTTCAGCACGAGCAAGATTTTCGTTTGCTACAACTACCAGTTGTCTCAAGGAATTTAGCTCGTTCAAAGCATTATCTCTCTCAGCCTCTACCCTTGTGGCGCGTTCCTCAACACAGTCGACCTCATCCTTGGCGGCTTGAATGCCACTCTCCTTTCAACCAGAACCCTTTCTAACTCTTCCTTCAGGTTGTTCACCTTATTTGCTAGCTCGTCAGCTCAGCTTTTAGCTAACGCAACTTTGTTTGCCATCTCAGAGCTCTACAAACGATTAACCTCATCTTCCAAGCTTGCCTTCTCAGAAGTTAACTGCTTACAGTTTTCACTCAGTTCACGGCCCTGTCCTTGTGCCCCTTGTTCGCACTCGAATAGTGCGAAAACATAGCTGCATGCTTGTCATACAATTTCGATCGTTAGTCTCTAGCATAAATTGAGAAGATATGATAGTACAAGCATTTCATCAAAATACTTACGCCCATCAACTTTAGCATGGTAGCATGACTCCCGTGCTGTTGTATGTAACCCTTTGCACGTTGCCAATCTACCCGGGGAACAAAACTTTGCATACCTTGCAACATGGCGGCCTGGTAGTCAGTTTTTGTATAACTGAAACTTTCAAGGTATGCAATCCTTGGACCTACTGCAAATGCAGATGCAGGCACTGTCTTTGCAACGTGATGTGGAGTGGCAGCAAGCATGGTAGATGAACGTGCAGCAGCAGGTTGAACGAGTTGAGGTCGGGGGCTTGTTTGTCGCCTAATAAGTGGCACATTGTCCTCATGTCCATGCCTTCGGGAAATCAAGGGCAAAGCTTCAACTCTTTGATTGACATGGGATTGTGACATCGGGCTGGATCCTCGCTTTCAATGGGATGAGCTACAAGATGGCCCCGCAGGTTTCTTGTCAAAGTGCGTTTGCCTATGTGAGCTTGGCTCTAGGCGACGACCCCTGGTGCCCTAAGCTCATTCACGTTGCCTTTCCAAAACGCTGCTCATTTCTCCTGCACAAACAAATACATACGCCTTAGATTGGCTAATAATCGAAAGTTACAACAGGAGTATACCTTCGCTATAGAGGTTTGCGGTATCCACAAACCCAAAAACTCCTAACTGCTCTGGGGTAACCAAACTTTCTAGATCTACCAGCCCTTCCTTTTTCATGTACACCAGCAACTGGTTCTTTAGATCCACATCGCGAGGTGTTAGTTGGGGATAGTTCATATATGTATTTGGAGTCACCACTCAAAAATGGGAGTAGGGAGCTCATTATTGATCCTCTCTGTTCACGTATCACGAACAAAAACGAACTATCTCATCCACCTTGCAACCTTGTTCCTTACGTTCTTAAAAAGTATCATCTTTTCTCTCCCAGACATGTAGTACCATCTCATTTGGTTGCCACTCAGTCGACACTAGAACAACGACCTGAAGACTACCGCCTTCACAGGTATCTCCAACCTCGCATACAACAATATAAATCCTATGATAAACTTTATGTTGTTGGGGGTTAGCTGCGTTAGTGCTAGCTCGTACTCTACCAAAACATCAAAAATTAGTCCAGGTAGAGGAAAGCGCAAGCCGGCGTCAAAATGGTCCACGTACACTGGCACCCAGCCCGTTTGTGATACCGTGCATGCCCTTTCGTTTTTGGTGTTGGCTCGAATCAAAATTGTTCTGGGGATCTGATATTGCTTCACCATCTCCTCCAACTTCTTATATCCCTTGACAGTAGCTGCGCCATCTGCCACATCATGATGTAGAGCCACCCTGAATCTAAATCCAACAGGCAAATTTTGTGGTTGCCTTGCGGATATTATCCAATCTGCCATTGATAGTCTTGTTCTCCCATCCCTCAAGCACGGGCACATTTGCCTCCATATTTGTCATTTGGGGATTGCTAGTACCTTCCCCCCATCCCTCCCATCACTATGTGTCCTCTCAGAAGATGAACCTTTAAAGGGTGAAGAATGGTGACCACCGGAGTCACCATCTGCGCTTGAATTGGTGTTGCTCTCTGGCGTAATAATTTCTGGCAAATCTTGTAGCACCAGCGGCACTATCATGACAATAAGCTCCACTAACACAATGCCCTCTTCCTCTTCCCTGCCCTAGTTACCCTGAAGTTCCTTAAGTTCTCTAAAAAATTCCATTTTTACCTAAATAGTTGAAACATAAAGTCCTCTGGTATCTGTGGGTTCATAGCTTCGCTTGAAAAGCTTTACAAATGTTTGCTGCAGAAAATGACAGAGAATATGGTGAAAGAGAAATGCCAAAAAGGTTGTACGATCGTTCCCTTGATTACCGTATGTGTTTTTCTGACACACCACTTAAAATCCCACACGTGGTAGCTATTTAAGGTCTGGCATATAACGTCCGCCGGCTTCAGCTATCACATCTCTTCAAATGCTGAGCCAGCATTTATTGCAAGGAGGGTGAAGGGCAGAGGGATATCAACCACTCTGAACCATATCTCCTTAGAGATTTGTGCCATTTTAAATTTTGAAAAATTTCTAAGGTTGAGATCGTCAAGCGTTGGCTCGTCTTTGCAATAGCATGAACGAGCTCATCATGACCACCTCATCTGTAATGCAGATCTTATTAGGAAACTTTGTCTCCTCTGAGACCTACTTCACTTTGAAGTTTGAAAAGTCATTGCACGAGCTCGTGAATTAGCAAATGCATTGTCTAAGTTCACTGAACGAGATCATTCTAGGACCAAGTCACCTAGGCGCAACTATTTCCCCAAAGGCCTCATCATCTGAGGTTCAGCCTAAATGCATCACAGGTCACGCAAGTCACATGCCTGTGTTTGGACGTGTACTCCATATGGTAATTTTTCAACTTCGCTACCTACTAGGTCGTTCATGAAGTCAAAGGTCATAAGCCCCATTCTCAAGGCTGAACGTTAGGCCGTGAATACAATTACCCCAGTTTGTCAACTGAACACTAAGGAGAGAGTAATGTTGGGAATGGGCTCAACACTCAACCTGGACCACGTATAGTAGGCCCATCTGTCTATTCCTAAGCCCAAAATGAAGATACTTTCATACATCAACCCAGACATACCCACGTGGGTGCCAACACAAGGACCAATTAGATGCTTACGTATGGCCTTATGTCATCACCAAGGGGCTATAAATACCCCCACCTACCTCCGCTCAAGGTGATAATTTTACTACACTTCTCTCTCTACAATTATTCTTGAGAGCTTCTCCCTCTATAATATTGAGTATTGTTAGTTTAAGCGTCGGAGTGTTTCTCCCAAGGAAACATCCTCGGGTTTTTCAGGTGTTGAAGCAGTTGAAGATCTTTACAATGTAGGTTCGTGAAGCTACCCAAACAAGTTTGAGTCATGAAACTTCGAATTGAGATTTAAATGTATTAAAAGAAGATGATGCAGAAAATTAATGCGTTTAAACATTAAAAATGTCAAAATATTTAATAAAAATTACATAATTAATGAGATATAATATAGATTTTATTTGAATCTTATTTATTATGTGGTTGGAATTGAATATTTTAATATTTTAAATACTAAGACATCTTAATTTTTATTTTTATTAAAAGAATAAATAAATAAATATTAAGAAAATAAAAATATATTTTATAATTCAAATTCTAAAACACTAACTTTTTAATAAAAAAAAAGTTTCTAATATTAAGAGTCCTAACTATTAAAAAGTCTCTAAGCTTAGATGATGAAACAATACACTAAAAAAAAAAAAAAAGTCCATTAATTTATTGAGCTTTAAGTCTTGAACTTTATTTTTATTTTGCTCAGTCTCAGACCCAAACTCGAACTTTAATTTTATTTTGCTCAGAGTCTCAGACCCAAACTCGTGCATCATTGCCTGTTAAAAAAAAAAGAAAAAAAAAAAAAATCCTAGAGTAGGACCTTCATGGGTTGGGCTCGACAATGTATTCTTCCATTTCATGGGGTTTTATGTTTGGGCTAAAATCCGCTCGAATACTACTGGATCGTACGTGGAAACCAAAGTTATCAATATCGTATCAGTATATATTTCGATTTTATTACTGAAATGATATATACTAGATATCGAAACTTTTCACATATTATTTCAAATTTATCGTTATAAATATATATTTTTATAAATTAAATATTAAATTTTAAAATAATGATAAAAGAAGTTAATATTTAAAATTATTATATTTTTATAAATTGAAAATAAATTTAAAATAGCCAACTTTATAAAACATCCATAATTTTTTTAATATTAAGATAATATTAGAAAGTATAATAGTATTTTGAGTTTAATATTATACAAAATATTAAATTTGAATTGATTAAAAAAATACAATTTTTATAGTTAATGAATTAAAAAAGTACATAAAAAAATTAAAAAATGAAAATTATATATAATATTATAGTTGAAGACGGAAAATAAAATTTTCTTTTTTAAATTTGAATTCATATATACTGTTTTGTTTTTGGTGTACTGATTAGTATGTCGAAATACGGATCGATACATCAAAATTTGATTGAAACAAAAAAAATTTGATCAAAACAAATGAAATTTGATTAGAATAAAATTGAATCATGAATCATTTCAATTTAAAAAGAAAATCAATATATACCGCCCATATCGACTGGTACGTACCAACTATGTCGATTGGTACGGGCCGAAATTGCATGGGTGGAAACATTGAGACGGTACACTCCACATGGATTTATTTATTTGGATTAACACGCGCCCAAGCTGATCATTCTTTCATCGGTTCTTCTTCTGTTTCCTCCTTTCCCCTCCTTCTACAGCTCCGTTAACCACCGACATCGTCAACTCACTCTTCTCTATTGCCTCCGTTTTAGCTCAAAGAGCTGAACTTCCACGCATTGCTTTTGCTAAATCAGAATACCTGCTTGTTGCGTTCGTATTGTCCCTCCAAAATTTTCTTTTTTCTTTTTTATTTTCGCCTTTTGTCGAAAATTTTGTTGACAATTAAGATGAACCTGTGTTCATGTCTACATGTATGAGTTGTTTGTGTTTTAGTTGGTCTCAAGTTGTGAAAAGGATAACCA